GATTAAAGTCATGGTATTCTGAGATTAAAGTCATAATATTTTGAGAATAAAGTCATAAAATTATGAGATTAAAGTCATAATATTCTCAGATTAAAGTCATGGTATTATGAGATTAAACCGTAATATTCTGAGATTAAAGTCATAATATTATGAGATTAAAGTCATAATATTCTGAGATTAAAGTCATAATATTTTGAGAATAAAGTCATAAAATTATGAGATTAAAGTCATAATACTATGCGATTAAACCGTAATATTCTGAGATTAAAGTCATAATATTCTCAGATTAAAGTCATGGTATTATGAGATTAAACCGTAATATTCTGAGATTAAAGTCATAATATTCTCAGATTAAAGTCATGGTATTATGAGATTAAAGTCATAATATTCTAGCCCTTAAACAACAAACATACCATGACCACTGCATTAAAATGAAGAATGTTGAGCAACTTGTCAAGTTGTTTTTTTTAATTGCTATAAATATTTAATCTTTTAGCACATTAGCATCAATTTTTCAGTAGCAGGAATTTGAAATTGTGTAAACGACTGTAAACTGAAGCTGTACTGTAATTAATGGATGCGTTAACAGATTTAGTTTCACATAGCTACTGTAATTTGGATGAAAGCACATTAATCCAACAGTGATTCGAGTCATTGAGGATGACTTTATAAACAGACACACATCTGGATGTCCACATCAGGTGTGAGGAAAATAAGGAGGAAATGAGGAACAGAAAATGGACACGTCATATTGTGACTTTAACTTGAAATATTACGACTTTAATCTCATAATATTATGATTTTATTCTCATAATCTCATAAAATTACTTACTAATCTTGTAAAAATAAAAATAATTCTCGTTATGTGGCCCTAAAACACTGTTGAAACATTTTTTTATGATTCAGCAGTTTTTTTTTTCAAAAACAAGACATGAAGTGTCCCAAAGAGCAACAAAAAACTGTATATTTATTGCAGAAGATCACTTTTTAAAAGATTACAAGAAAAAAAAAACATCTCACTAAAGCTAAATCAAGTGATTTTATGACCTTATTTCCAGTTTGTGTCAGATTATTTTAGAATCCAGACTTCTGAAGACCAGACAGGAGGAGAACATTTTTATTATTTTTCAAGGAGCTGAAGTTACACAAACAGGCAACAGAAGCATCTCATTAATTTATACACGTGACAAACACAAAAGACTAACACAAGACTTTAACAACATGATGCTAATTCTGATTTAGCAGAGTTAAAAGCTGAAGAAGCACCAGGACCCGTTTACAAACAGACATCACGTTCAGTGGATTTGCTAACATTAGTATTTACAGTCCGCTCCCCAGAGAGAAGCAGAAATCAGCCTTTTATATCAGGCTGCTGCGACATGAATCAGCTTCTGTCAGAAAAACAAYCTGCTGCAAAAATATGCTTCTTATTTCACGTCTAATGAAGGCTGTTAATGTGCACACTGCGCTCCCCAAACTGCACCGATTTCAGAGTAAAGCTGGTAAAAATACAACCTGTTTATCAGAAAGATTAAAGAGTTCAAGCAGAGAGCTGGGCCATATGTGTGTTAGCTTATTAAACAACGAGCATTAACTGCATTTATCAAGATGTTTATGAGATCAAAACATCTGAAGATTTTCTCTGTTTCAACATAAAAGTTTTTCTTTTCACTTTCCTGAATCTACCCAACATCATTTCTTTACTTTTATTTTGGAAGAACTGGAAAAAGATGTTAAAGTAACTCAAAGGAGGGACTGATGAGGAGGAGGAGGAGGAGGAGGAGGAGGAGGAGCAGGAGGAGGGTCTGTAC